ACCATACCACCATTATTATGCTTAAATAATTAACAATAAATCATTTTTTACAGCATCAAATATCAAGGCAGTGTCCAAATTTTTTTTTTTTTTTTTTTTTTAGAAAAATAGAGAATACCTATCCCACAGGATAGGATTATTATAAGGAGGAAATGAGGTAACATTTGAAAAGAATTTTATAAATTTATTATTACTATACTGTGAATGTTTGATAGAAGAAGAAAGAACAAATTAAAGAAAGAAAACTATTACTAGAATAATAGTTGTTCTTTATTTACACCATCCAGAAAGTTTCTGTAACACAGTGAAAACTTCAGTGATATTTTAATTATTAAATCATGGGGACAATTCAAAACCACACCAAACATACTCATTTAATTATCTCATGACCTCTTGGTTTTAAAAGTTTGTAAGATATCTCAAATTAGCCAATTTTAAGTTAAAATAATATATACAATTGTTTTAATCTAATATAATTTCTAAAATTTTAGGAAGTATAGTAAAATCCACGAAATTGGATGTTAAATTTGTTAGTATATTTTAAAGGAAAATCTGCAGGGCAGAAAAATACACAAAGACTAGTTGATCCTTTGAAAACTTTGACTATTGTCACTTTTCAAATATAAATTAAACTTTTAAAAAACTTTGTTAGGAAGTGTCAAAAACTGTTAATAAGAAAAGTCACCAATAGGATTGGAACATGTTACTTATGTTAATAGTGCATACTTTCACGCTTAACATCAGGTTTCTAGAGTTTAAATGTGTCCCTCAAAGTTCATGTGTTGAAAACTTCATCCCCAATGCAATAGTGTTGGGAGGAGGATTCCAATAAGAGGTGGATTAGGGCTTTGCCCTTATGAATGCATTCATGTTGTTATTGCTAGAGTGGGTTAATTATCTTGAGGGTAGGCTTGTTAAAAGGAAGTTCAGGCCCCTCTTTATCTCTTGCTTTCCTAAATTCTCTCTAGCCCTTCCACACTTTGCCATGGGATGGCACAGCAAGAAGGCCCTCATCAGATACAGGACCCTCAGCCTTGGTTTTCCAGTCATTCGAACTGTAAGAAATAAATGTCTTTTCTTTATAAATTACCTAATCTGTGGCATTCAGTTACAGCAACACAAAATGGACAAAGGCACAGGTGTTATTTTTCTGCATTATTTTTGGATCTCATCCTGACCTAAGATCGCAATAGCTGTATCATTAGTGAGCCAAGTCAGTTGGCTAAAAGCACGACAGTAAGATATAAAACCACTCATCACAACAAAATGGGCAATCTCACTTGTGAAGAAGCTAACTCCCCCAAAATGGTAAGGAAAATAAAGCTTCTGTGCAACTAGATAACATCCAAATATAGACAAAATGAGAAAAATGTGGTTGGTAGAAAATTCGAATTAAAGTGATTTTTCAAATATTCTAAGATGCAATGTACTTTTATTTCTGGAATATCATTTTTGAAACACAGTAGTACATACTCTGCCAAGGGTGAGACAAGCAAATGCTCTTTATCTAGCTTATCTAAATAACCTATATATAATAGCTTATGATATAACCTAATATAAATAACCCAATATATAACCTATGATAATTATAACCTAGAATAATTAAAAGTGTCGACTTTTCCAAACCAAGAAATTCATACAGGAGTTTTAAAATACTATATCTTCATTACACATTGAACATGGAATATGCAGAGCTGTTTATTCACTGCAAAATTTTGTATTAATTTATTTTTCTATGGTAGTTTGAGAAATTCATTGTAAAATATAGGCTTCAAATTATCTTAATTTTCAAGTACTCTTTTAAAAAATACTTTCTTCTATATCAATCTTTATTAAATATATGCAGCTTTGTGATAAACACTGTGGGGTAGAGAAGTATGTAAGACTTACTTTTGTCACCAGGAACTTTCAGTCTAGTAAAAAAAAAAAAAAAAAAAAAGCAAACTATGAAGGATGTGGGTTAGTAAACAAATAACAATGAAGTAAATACAATTCAGCTCAAACAAGCACACCAAGCCCAATTCAAGGATCCAGGAGTCATAATATATATTTGTCACAGTGGCTTTTCTATAGGAGTTCACCTGCTATTGGGGGAGATAGACTGATATACAGATCATTCTAGTGTAAAGCAGTAATTTACAAAACAGAGGTGAGCACAAAGTAATAAATCCTTCATTTACAGAGTGTTTTCTGAGAATTTATGAAGATATGCTTTCAAATTATACACTAACACTTGTGATCATTTTTAAATGAAAGTGCATGAATTAGCCATGGATGATATTATGAGCTTTGGCCTTGGTGGGAGAAGATACAATTTCTGTTAATTTCAGTACTTCCACCAAGTTTTATGATATTGAGCTAGTTCCTGTAACCTCTTCATTATTTCCTTCTACATAAAAAGAAAGGTTCTGCTAGATTGGGGTTCTAAATACGGGATCCACTGACACTCAGGAAAAAGTCTGTGGGTAGAATTCACAGGGTCTATAAATTGGAATGGAAAAACAAAATCATATTCACTAGCTTCTAATGGACATTTAGCATTTCCTTTCATTATGAATGTGTATGGCTAGTCACAGAAATATTTGCAGCACCTCCAAATTTGACACTATGAGACGTCAGTCACAGGTATTTTCATACGACATTATAGAATTGTGATACTTCAATATGCTAATGAAATAACATTATTTCACCCTGTTATGCAATATTTTAATATGTAATAATACATATTGCAATATCACAAATTAGGTTTTAAAAGAATATTTTGATAATTATATTTAAGTGTTGT